TGTGTGTGTGTGATTGTGTGTGTGTGTGTGTGTGTGTGTGTGTGTGTGTGGAAGGGGGGGGGGGGGGTAGCGTATATTTTTATCACCAACGGCACTACACTATGTCACAAGTGAGTTCAATGTCCAATTGTCGTTTCTTCGCGCTTTCCAAGTAGTCTGACGTCGCAACCGATTTTTTATGAAATCCATAGCTCGCAACGCCTTTCCGGGTGTGGTTTCCATACAGGGGCATTCCTGACGTGCTATTTATAGAGCTCGCTGACGGAATACACCAGCCTATCAGAGAGCGAGAAATAACCAGGGCGCTGTCGCGTCGGCAACGATTACAGAGCGAGATAAGCCGTGTGAAACGCAGTACACTTGTACTGTGCGAAAACACGTTTGTTCCGTCCGATACCGAAATAGACGTGCACGGAGCCCGGGCGGTTATTTTAGGTTTTAGTTCTCACCCAGTGGTTATATAGGCCTGTGCGAGCTGTTCCCAATTCATATCTCTTGGACTTTTCAAAAACATCACTCGGTATTAGCGAGAGCAGTATCTGAAATTGACATCTTCTTGGGTTTTTGGGTTTTTTTGTTTTAGTTGTGTGTTTTTTTAAGTTGTAAATTTTATTCTTTTAGTTTTCTAAATTAATGAACAAATAAGAGATGTTCTGAAGGGTATCATTATTGTAATTGGTGTTCGGTTTTGAGAAAAGTAATGTGTTCGCAAGATATGGGAAGTTGCCGAAGGGGCGCCCCCCAGCCTTCCTTGCGGCGCTTGAAGCGAAAACTGAGGCACTATGAGCTCATTCTTAGCCTATGCGTGGACCATACATGTAGCCACAACACGAAGGTAACTACCTACATGTACTCACGACACGAATTGGTGTTTTTGTCGTGTGGGGATGCTGCTACTACTACTACTGCTGCTGCTGCTACTACTACCACTGCCACTATTACTACTACAACTGCTGCTGCTGCTACTACCACTACCTCTACCACTACTACTACTACTACTATTGAGGGTGCTCCATGCCCTGTTCTACTGAGCATGTCGCGACGAGTGAATTATGGGGGGGGGGAGCAGTATGGGCTGTGGTGTGTGTATGTGGGGGGGGGGGGGGGCTACATTCCACCCTCCACTTTACGATTTATGTAGGGAGGGGGGCTGAAGGGACCATGGTTTGTGTGTTGGGGGGGGGGGGGGCGATGACATTTCATTACAGAGAGAGTGAGTGTGTGTGACAGAGAGTCTGAGAGACTGAGAGAGAGAAAGAGGGGTTGTTTTTTTTACCTCTGTTCCTCCCTATCTTGTCTATTGGTCAAGTTCTTTTCGTCTGTGTCTTCTTCGCCAGCTTGTAAATAAGTTTCGTCTTATCTTCTTTCTGCAGGAACCCTCAGACAGTGAGGTGGATGACAAGATGGGTAACTCACACAGCAAGAAGTCCACGCCCTCCGTCTACTATGCACCAGGCTATGGTGTGACCTTGGGCTCCAGGCCACCTTCCCTCGACCTAGACAATGATGTTGACCTCCGTGAGGAAGGAATCCGGCTGCGTCCGCACCTGGCCCGCCCCCGATACAAGTCCCCCTCCCCGGCATCGGACAGAGACTCTGCCATCGGCGGGGTCACAGGCTCAGAGATGTCGCAGAGCCAGTACAGCGAGGTCAGTGCCAACAGAGATTCCTTCTACTCCTCCTGTACGGCAGAGAGCGGTTTTGACGACTTGATGGCCTGTTTTGAAGACGTACGTGCCCAGCGAAAGTGGAGTAACTCCGCCAAGGAAAACTTCCCCCCGGGCTCGTTGAGAGAGCGGAATTTGAACCTGCTGTACCGTGCCCACCACGGCTACGATCCCGGGCTCAACAACTTGGGTCGAAGCGTCAAGCCGGGGCTGGACACGCTGTCTGACGTGAGCAGCGAGCGCAGCGGGATTGTGTCGAGCCGCAGTCAGCACAGCAGTTGTGCCGGGGACAGCCAGAGGTCGGGACGAGTGACCCGGACCAACGTTGACCCCCTGGAGGACCGCTTTGCCCTGCAGCGACACCCAAGCTCAGACGCAGGAACCACGTCGGGTCAAAGCTTGAGTGGCAGACAGGACATGGGTGTTTGTGGAGGGTCAGCCTTCACTGGCGATGGTGTTGTTGGAATGTCGGAGCCTGCGTCCACCCCGCATCTCTTGTCCGCTCAGTCGTCTCCTTACGGGCGTCGCGTCCATCCTTGTAGCAGGGGTCGCGGTCACTCACCTGCCACGGGCCAGCAACATTTCTCCCCCATCAGACGACCAGATGGCTCATGTCTGGACCAGCAGCTAGACTACGACCCGTCGCTGGACGCGTCTGAGTCTATACGAAGCTTCAACTCTAGTGGAGACGGCATTGACTGGGATGTGGAGCTGGAAGATTCCGGAGAGCGAATGTCCACTCTGCCCGAGTTCCAGCAGTCTCTGTCTGATGTTCAATTTCAGCAGTCCCTCATGCAGAGGATCCATGAATGGTCGACGTTTGCCGAGGAGTACAACAAATCGAGGTCACCTACCCCCCACTGCTCCCCCATACGCTTTGTGCGGAGAAGTCGAAGTCTCGACAGGCATCTCGGAGATTCCTCTGCAGTTTTAGTTTCCGACCACGATATCGCGGGCTCCAAACCCACCGAGATGGAGCCCACGACAGAGAAAAACTTGGAGTGTTTGGAGTACGAACTGCAGGACATTCAGGGGGAGTTTGAGTCCATTACCTCCAAACTCCACGAACTTATAGAGCAAGGAAATGCCAAAAAGGCCTCACCAAAGTCTTCCCAAGCCCCCGCTACACACACTCAAAGTGATGCACACTGTGCTGCCTCTGGCAGTCCCGCGGCCCCACACAGCACGCCCCGCCCCTCACACACTTGGCCCCGCCCACAACACAGCGCGGGCCGCCCAACCATTAACTCCACCCCCCATATTCGCAAGATGCGGACTAGATGGGAGCGAGTCCCAAGCTCTGGGTGTTCAGATTCATCCCGCAGCTCCCGTGCTAGCAGTGTGGAGTATGCCTGGGATCTGGCGGACTACGCTAACAACTCCACCGTCTCCACAACTGGGGACCAGTCTCACCTCGAACCACAGGTAGAGGCGCAGAGTTCCTGGCAACACGGTGAGTACAAAAATATAGCTACTGGTACTTTATATGTAAATATATATCACACTCACGGTAGTGGGTGGTTGACGGGTGTTATGATGTGGTTTGTCCCTTCTTTCCAATCAAAAACCTATCATCCTTATCTCCCCTTCTTTTTTTTATGTTTGTTACTCTCTTGTAACACTTCTAATCTTCTGGCACTCATATGCAGTTGTGAGTGCCGTAAAACGTCTACTAAAACTAAAACTAGCACTCACGGTATACAATTTGTGGCAAGCATCGATTGGATGATGATGCCTTTGAATCAGATAGTTTTCATAACTTCACATCAGGAATTGTATACCTGTTTACTAAACACCAAGAAAAATCAAAATGATGGAGCAAAGAAACGAACAACAAATGTTTGTATTGACTGATTTGCTCAGAATTAAATTCCTGATAATTCCTAATAATATGTCTGTATGGTTGAGGAAGCTCCCATGTTTGTACTTTTTGTGACATGTTCATGTATCCTCAGTGTATGTTTATAGAAGTTCCATTGGGTTCCGTGTGTATTGTCTTATGTTTGTAAAAGTTATTTATGTTTGTTTTTCGTACTTGTTATCTCTATGTTTGAAGAAGTTACATCATGTGTTTTTTGTTCACAAGTGTTATCTGGGTATTTGAAGAAGCTCCTTGTGCTTTTCTTGTTCATGTATTCTCCTTTGAAGAAGTTTTGGGGGTGGTTGGCTGGTGCTCTGTTGTAGTTTGCTCCATCTTTCTTGTATTGTCCTTTTCTCTCTTCTTTCTTTTTTTTTTGTTTTGTTTTTGTTACTCTCTTAAAACATCTTAACCGTCAGCACTTATATGACCTTATTGTGTTTCTTACTAAAACAGAAACAGAAGAAGTTCTTTGCGGGTTTTTTCTTTATAATCCTTGTGCGTCTGAGGAAGTTCTATATGTGTGAGCGAGTGGTCGGAGGGCGCCTCTGTGGTAGGTCCTACTTCTTTACTTTCTCAATGTTGTGTCTGTCTGTCTGTCTGTCTGTCTTACTTTTTCCCAGCACTCATCATCATCGTTGCGTTTCTCACCCTGGATCAGGATGGATATATGCAACGAACAATCATTTTCCACCTTTCCCTGTCCTGGGCTAGCCGCTTGATGTTATTCCGTGTCTTCCCACTTTTCTGTACATCAGTTTCTGTGACTTTTCTCTAGGTTCGCCGTTTTCCCTGCACTAAAGGACCATTAGTGTGTTGTTGTGCTTCTATTTACTTTTACTTAAACTCAAAATCCGTGGGTGGTTGGCGGGTGCTCTGGTGTGGTTTGCTCCTTCTTTCCTATCAAAAATCTATCTCTTCTTTAGAAATCTCCCCTCCTTTTATTTTGTGTATGTTACTCTCTAGTAACACCTCTAATCTTCGGCACTTATATGACCTAATTGTGTTGCAAGTGCCGTAAAACTCTTACTAAATCTAAACTTAAAAACTCAAAATCCATGTGTGTTTTTCTTGTGTGTGCATTTCAGGTCCTGAGGTGACCAACATTGGTCTTCCAGTTGTGATTTCCGATTACTCAGAGGGGGAGTGGAAGGGCAGCACAGACAGAGCCAAAGTCATCCGAGAGGTGGGTTCACTGTACACCATAGCTTGTGGGTGGTTAGTGGGTACACTAAGTCGTTTCTGTTTTTAAATTAATAAGATGAATATTTGGAGTGATTTTCCTTTTGTCAGAACACAACATTATATGTTACTGTTGTACGTATTGTAAAGCGCTCTGAGCCTGTGTACTTTAATCGGGGTTGAGCTCTATGTATATGTCATTTATTATTATTACTATTATTACACCATAGCGTGTGTGTGGTCCGAGGGATGCTCTGGTGTGGTTTGCTCTTTCTTTCCAATCAAAACATTATATATATTGTCTAAATTATCTTTCCACCTTCTTTTCTTTTAATGTTGCTCTCTAGTTAAGCCTCTAATAATCTTCAGCACTTTTATGACCTTTTTCTGTGTTGCAAGTGTTGCTGTGGTTGTGATTTTAAGTTTTGCTGAGTTTTGCTGTTCAGTCAATGACCTTATTGTGTTGCAAGTGCCGTGAAACACTTACTAAAACAAACAGTTACTGACATTCTTTAGTGTTACTCAAACATGATGTTATAACTCGATAGCTATTGTCACTCCCCAATGAGACTTATTTTTAAGTGTGTGTGTGGCTATTGACACTCCCCAGTGAGACTTATAATATATAACTCTACGTGCAGCTATTGACACTCCCCAGTGAGACTTATAATAATAATATATAACTCTACGTGCAGCTATTGACACTCCCTAGTGAGACTTATAATATATTACTCTACGTGCGGCTATTGACACTCCCTAGTGAGACTTTATATATAACTCTACGTGCGGCTATTGACACTCCCCAGGGTTACAGCAAAATCCCCTCCTTGCTGTCATGCCACCGTATGAGCGTGGTGAGGGGAGACAACTACTGCGGCCTGCGGTCGACACTGTTCCAGGTCTTGGTCAGCGGCCATCGAGTGACCAACCACTGGACGGGCATCATCCCGGTCATGGACAGTCTCCATGACATGTACCAGAGCGATAGCAACTGCCTGGCCCACTGGACGTTTGCCAACCGGCTGCCCGGGCACTGTGCAGACCGCCTCTCCTCACTCTCCAAGTGTGCCCTGTCTCTCTACGCCACGGTAAGTGAAAAGTGGGAAAAAAATATGTGGCCAGCACAGGCCTTAGTGTCCATTAGAGGGGCTATTTGTCCTTTAGAGGGTTTTTGTACTATGTCTATTAGAGAGGTCATGTGTCTTTTAGCGGGACTTTTCTCTTAAACAATGGATGGCCATCTTAGACAATTTCAACTGTACATCTGTTGGTTTTTTTGTGTATCTTAATATTTATCTATGTTTTATCATATTGTTTGTTTTTGTGTATCTGTACGTCATTTATTTATGTACGTCTGCTTATCTTGTCTTAATTAGTTGGGGGGGGGGGGGGGGTTGGTCATTTTATGTATCTGTATAAATTGTTTGTTTTTGTGTGTATGTATGTCATAACTTTTTGTGCATCTGCTTATCTTGTCTTATATAGTTGTTTGTTTTTTTTGTCATTCTATGTATCTGTATAAATTGTTTGTTTTTATGCATCTGCTTATCTTGTCTTATATAATTTTATTTTTTGGGGGTCATTTTATGTATATGTGTAAATTGTTTTTGTGCCTCTGTATATATATCTTGTTTTGTGCATCTGCTTATCTTGTCTTATATAGTTTCGTTTAATTTGTCATTTTTTTTGTATTTGTGTAAATTGTTTGTTTTTGTGCATCTGTATATATATCTTGTTTTGTTGTGCCCCTCACAGATCGAGGAGGTGTGCAATCTGAGCTCCTGGGAAGAGAGGGAGAAACGAACCCTGGGCCTCTTCAACTCGAGCTCGACCTTTGACCTGGAGCTGATGGAGGGCCTGAAGCTGATGATGTTTCTGAAGCTGGTGGAGATGAAGAAGCTGCTGGACATTGGGGAGGACGTTCCAGTGTTCGGACATCTGCTCTTTGCCCGCGACTCCTCGGAGACCGTGGAGGCGTTTTTGAAGAATCATCTCAACCGTGTGGGCGACACAGGAGGCCTTGAGCAGGTAGATCTCGTTCTTGTTCAGCTGAGGGTTCCACTGTCATTGTTTTTTTCTGGAGGGCGATTAGCGGGTGGTGTGGTGTGGTTTGCTCCTTCTTTCCTGTTAATCATCTATCGTCTTTATCTCCCTTCCTTCTTTTTTTTTGTGGTGTTTTTGTTACTGTTATTGCCTCTTTCTCTCCTGTCCTGAATGCGTGGTTATTACTTTGCTCTCCCTCTGTTATATGGTGTTAATGGAATATGTTCTCATGATTATCACGTATCAAATAAAAGTACTTTTGCTATCAGCCACTGAATTAGAATGAGGTCGCCTTCAGAGGTTTTGATTACTTGATTCTGATTCGGCGTATTTGCAATGAATGTTGTGTCTTTTAATTTTCTTTTTTTTTTTAATTTTGCTGTCTGTTTTTCAGGTGGAGATGTGCCTTCTTGGTTACTGTCTTGGAGTTCGAATCCGCGTTCTGCGTCTGTCCCAGTGTGGACAACAGGACTTTGACTGTGTGTTCCCGGAGGACGTCCCTTCAGACTGGCCCGAGGTCCAGTTGATAGCGGAGGATGACCGCCACTACAACGTACCCTTGCCTTAAGTTTTGTCACCGCTTCTACTGTTGGAAGCTGTCGTCAGTGTGTTTGATGGCCACAGAGTGCAAGCAGGGACTGTAGTGTTGTCCCATATGTCTGTTTGGTTCTCCCCCCATCTTGTATAGTTGTAGAGCACGTAACCGTATACCTACAATAGCCCTGCCTTGTTTCTACTGCTGCCCCCACA